TCTCATAGATAGGAGGAGGTTTTATTCGGCTACGTTCCATACTGAAACAAAAGTAGTTTGCTGTGATTGCCAAAAATTTGAAACTGACGGGATAATTTGCAGGCACATCATTCGTATTCTAGACCTTAATCAAGTTGTCGACATTCCAAAAAGGTATGTTCTAAAACGCTGGTGAAAAGACTTGTTGAGGAAGCACACAAGAGTTAAGGTTTCCTACCATGATCCTTCAAAGGTTGGGGTGTGGAAAAGGTATAACACGTTGATGACTGCATTTGAGCAAATCTGCGAGGAGGCTGCAATGGTGGATGATGGTATGGTTAAGAACGTTCTCACAACACTAGATCAACTTCAATCCAAGGTTAGCGGCTGTAGTAAGCGCAAGAGGGACCAAACGGGCCCTAATACAATACCGGACGATTGTGCAGCCAATGTTGAGCATACGCGGTCAGATGAGAATGGGAATAATTCTACAGTGCATACTTCAAATCCTGATCTAGTCTTTCCTAAAGACCCGGTGACTAAAAAGAGAGGCAGAGGGAGGCCAAAAGGATCACGTAACAAGGGACTAGCTGAGATTGGATACAAAAAGGCTAAAAACCACAATCGACAGGTAGTTTTTGATTATTTTGTTTTTAATTTTCATACATAACTCACACTATACAACAATTTTTCCCTAGATATTTTCGAATACATGTGCAGAACGCTCGATCCTCGGCTGAGAATGGGACTACTTACACGATGCATAATCCACATCATAATATATTCTTACCTAACAATGCTTCTATACAACCGGTTCCTAATAAGAGAGGCAGAGGGAGGCCGAAAGGATCGCGTAACAAGGGAAGGAGAATGCCAAACCCAATGAAGTGCTCAGAAGATATTACCCTCTTTAATTCATTTATACAGAGGCAGAGATTATACCAATTTTTGGCTGGTGTTAACGACTCACTGGACAAAGAGAAGAGGGACTTACTGAATCAGGACCCTCTTCCATCAATTGACGCAGCATACGCATTCATTAGACGGGAAATTGCCCGTCGTGGGATAATGACCGGCGTTTCATCACCGGGACAAAATCCCTTAGAAATTGGAAGTGGGCTCGTTGCTAATCGCCGGTCGGAATCTTAATTCCGGCGAGAAGACAAATCCCACCTAAAGTGTACCCATTGTGGAGGAACGAAACACACCAAAAAGGGGTGCTTCGAAATTATCGGGTATCCGGAATGGTGGGAGGAATACACAAAGAAGAAGGCCGCCACCAAGGTCGGCGTGAACCAGACCGGCGGCAGGGCACATCTTGCCGTGAAATCGAGCCCAACCCCCAGTAGATCTGACAATGATGGTGGCGGAAAAAACTCAGGCAAGGAAGGTTGCGCAGAGAAGATCGCAAGCATGGAGGAAGCAGAAAGTACCACCGAGAATTATGGTGGTCAGGAAGGTAGAGAGCAGAAAATGGAAAGAGGTATTGAAAATGGGAAGGATGAGGCAAGGACGGTAGAAGACCTAACCCACAAAAAACCCACCCCCTGTCACCCTCTAACCGTCCCTCTTAAAACCCCAAGCCCACAAAATAAATTTAGCCCAATAAAACAAAAAATAGGAGCCCAAGTTGAAAATACTCAGCCCCCTAGCTTAAACCAAAAATCTTTTGGCCTCGTTTGTCATAGACCTATCCCGTGGATTTTTTATTGTGGAGCTACTGACACTATGACGTGTGACCCATTAGATATTAAAGCCACTCAAACCACCCATCGTAACCAAATTCAAACAGCAAACGGGGAATATATTCCTGTTTCCCAGGCTGGGACCGTTGATGTTACCTCGGACATTCATTTAAATAATTGTCTTTTAATTCCCAGTCTCACTCATAAGCTTTTATCTGTGAGTCAGTTGACTTAAAGAGCTTAATTGTACAGTCTTAATAATGGATTCTGGTTGTATTGTGCAGGATGCTCTAATAGGACGGATCATTGGGCGTGGTACTGAACGAGGGGGTTTGTACTATGTGGATGAGGTGGCTCAACAGGGTAACGCTTTGCTTGCTCATGGATCACCGGAAAACCAACTTTGGATGTGGCATCGTCGGCTAGGTCACCCCTCTCTTGGTTACCTTAAACGTTTATTTCCCTCATTTAAAAATATTGATGTAGCATTGAACTGTGAAGCATGTGTTTTAGCTAAGAGTCATAAACATACTTATCATCCTAGTTTAAGTCATGCCTCTGAACCTTTTGCTTTGATTCATTCCGATGTATGGGGCCCAGCGCCTGAATTTGCGTTCCATAACTATTCTTATTTTGTTTTATTTGTGGATGATTGTACTCGTATGAGTTGGGTTTATTTCTTAAAACATAAATTTGAAGTGTTTGATGTCTTTGTTAAATTTTATCATATGATATGCACTCAGTTTCATGCTCACCCACAAATTTTACGATCGGACAATGGGGGGGAATATATAACCTTAGATATGGAATAATTCATTATTGACCATGGTCTGATTCACCAAACCACGTGTCCAGACACTCCCCAACAAAAAGGGATTGCTGAACGGAAAAATCGAACCCTTCTTGAAATAACCAGAGCTATCATGTTAGAATCCCATGTCCCGGTCTATTTTTGGCCAGAAGCCATTGCTACATCCACCTATCTCACAAACCGACTTCCCAGTAAACCACTTGACTACAAAACACCTCTCGACACCTTATCCTCTCATGTCACCATCCCATCAGTCCATTCTTTACCTCCACGAGTCTTTGGGTGCGTTGTCTATGTTCATTTACCAAAACGGGCTCGAAATAAGCTCGAACCTAGGGCAGTTAAATGTGTCTTTATTGGGTATGGGGTTCATCAAAAAGGGTACCGTTGTTACGATCCAATTCAAAAAAGGGTCTACACCACCTTAGACTGTGAGTTCTTTGAACAAACTTACTATTACACCCCGCTAAGTCCTCAGGGGGAGAATTTGAGTGATGACCTTAGCTGGCTGACAAATCCAGAAATGGTGGACCCAGATCCTACAACACAAGTAGGCAATACCACCGATGCTACCCCAGAAGCAGTAGTCTCACTTCCTTTTCGGTCTCCACCAAATCCGCCAAATAAGCATCCATCTGAAGAGGTACCATCTGAAAGCTCTCCTGTTTCCTATAATATGCCTGAAATTAATCCTGTCTCCGATGAAAGTGAACAAAAAAGGTATGAGTTACCTCCTAGAAGTACGAGAGGAGTTCCACCAAGGAGATATGATTCTGAATATGAGGACCAACGGTCGAGATACCCAATCGAAAGAATCAGCACTGAAAATCTATCCAGCACAGCCATAGCTTTCAATGCCTCTTTATACTCCGCAGACATTCCAAAGAATGTGGAGGAAGCTGTCAAGAATGAAAAATGGAAGTAGGCTATGGAAGAAGAGTATCAGGCCCTACAGAAAAACAAGACTTGGGAGAAATGCATCTTACCAAAGGGGAAGAAGAAGGTGGGATGTAGATGGGTATTCTCCATCAAATACAAAGCAGATGGAACTATTGAGAGATACAAAGCACGGCTGGTTGCTAAGGGATACACTCAGACATATGGAATCGACTACTCAGAAACTTTCTCTCCTGTGGCCAAAATTGACACGATACGAGTTCTGTTTTCTGTAGCTGCAAACAAGGAATGGCCTTTGTACCAGTTTGATGTAAAAAATGCCTTCCTTCATGGAAGCATTGACGAGGAGGTGTATATGGAGGTACCTCCTGGATATTCTCATGATTTTAGAGATGGGGAAGGATGCAGATTGAGGAAGGCTCTCTACGGACTAAAACAGTCTCCTAAGGCGTGGTTCGGAAGATTCACAAAAGCTATGAAGAAGTTTGGATATAGGCAAAGTAATTCCGATCATACTTTATTCCTGAAGAAAGAAAAAGAGAAAATCACCTGTTTAATCATCTATGTAGATGACATGATTATTACAGGAAATGATGAGGAGGAGATTGCAGACTTAAAGGGAAAATTATTTTAGGAATTTGAGATGAAAGATTTGGGCAATCTCAAATACTTTCTTGGCATAGAGGTCTTGAGATCAAAGCAAGGGATCTTCATTCACCAGAGGAAATATATTCTTGACCTTCTGGCAGAAACAGGAATGCTTGGTTGCAAACCAGCTGAAACACCGATTGTGGCAAATCATGGCCTTCAAATTCTTGAAGGTGCAAAATTGACTAATAAGGAGGAGTATCAAAAGATTGTGGGGAAACTTATTTACTTAGCTCACACAAGACCAGACATAGCCTATGCAGTAGGGGTAGTGAGCAGATTCATGCATCTTCCACAAGTACAACACATGACAGCAGTAATGAGGATTTTGAGGTACCTAAAGGGTACAAGTAGTACTGGGATTTACTTTGACAAGAATGATCACCTAGATCTAATTGCGTACACGGACGCAGATTGGGCAGGAGATCGTGATGGTAGAAAATCCACCTCTGGATACTTCACCCTAGTAGGAGGTAATTTGGTCACCTGGAGAAGTAAGAAGCAGAAAGTAGTGGCTTTGTCAAGTGTAGAGGCAGAATTCAGAGGTATTGCAAAAGGGATAACTGAAATCTTATGGATCCGGAAACTTATGAGTGAAATTGGTTTTCCACAAAAAACAGCATGCAAACTCTTTTGTGATAACAAAGCAGCAATAAGTATCTCAGAAAATCCAGTTCAACACGACAGAACGAAGCATGTTGAGATAGACAGACACTTCATAAAAGACAAACTGGAAGATAAGATAATTAAACTTCCATTTGTGAGATCAAGAGATCAGTTAGCTAATATCCTGACAAAAGCTGTCAACAGTGAAGCATTCGATGAGACATTACGCAAGTTAGGCATTGGAGCACCAAATGCCCAACTTGAGGGGGAGTGTAGAAATAACCATAATTAGTTCCTTAATTAAAGGGACTAAATATTGACCAATTTATTCTGCAAATATTTAGGCTGTATTTTTGGTAGTAGTTGTTGTAACCTTAGTAGTAGTTGCCTAATTTACAGGATACTTCTGTGTATAAATATTTGTACTATCACCAGCAATAAACACACAGAAAATTGCAAACACAATTCTGCTTAATTCTCTATATGACTAGGTACCCGACTTAACCAAACTTAGGAAACAAACACTTGTTTCCTTAACACACACAACTTTACTAAATTATATCCACAATAATAAGCATGAAGTCATAAGGGATTTCTTAGAGCTCGATCAATTCCACTAATAATTCTTTGGTCATCAGTCCCCTAATTACTCCATGAATAAAACCATTCCATTCTCCCTATTATTGATTTTCAGTTCAATAAGTTCAGTTTAATAAGTGATAAGTAGATAACATTCCCATTTTCTAATTTTCTTTATGCTCGGAATAAACAAGCATTTACCACCTGACATTAGCCAGGTTGGCTGCAAGTAACTCTTATTATCATTTTAATTTCATCTACGACTGCCTCTAAACAGGAAGTGTATGCTCTATCATATGAAGTAGATACAACAGTAACTTAAAAGAATGGAGGCCTTGCTTAGTCTTCTTATCACAGACTAAGCAATGAACAAATTGTTCTTGGGAATCTGCCCAAATCCAAAACATGTACAGGGGAGTATTCTGGATTCCAACCTACCAGCAAAGTAGTAAACAAATATTATGAGGTTGGACAGGGGAATTCAGGAACTCGACAAGCCCATCTAGTATCGCTGCAAACATTATCATTGAAGAGCGTATGTCTTAAGGCCTGTGTGGTAATTAGCGATTAACTGATTGGTAAGAGCTGGTTACATTGTTAGCTGTTTTGACTACCTGGTTGCATTAGCTGTTTTGACTAGCTAATTTATAAGAGTTTTTTATGTAGAGTTGTTTGGTAAAATTAGCTTATTATTTGTACTTGTTTGTTAGTTGAACATATGAAATGACAATTTAAAACATTGCTAATTTTTTTTTTTTACTTGACTAAGGTAAGAAATTGGGAGGGCAAGAATGTGCTTTTTGACATCCATTACTCAATAAGCTAATCTAAAAAGCTCTATTTTTTTAGCTTTTTATAAATTAGCTTATTTGCCTCAATATGCTCATTTAAAATGCTCTTTTACCAAACAACCAAATTAGATGATTTATGTAGTCAAACCTCTAACTTGGTCAAATAAGCTCATTAATTTGGTACCAGCATATGAAGCCTGGAAGTTCACTGAAAGTGCTTTAATTTGGCACCTGAATTCTACCTTGTAGCTCAATCTTACCCTGAATCCATTCATAGCATAGTGCTTTAGTGCTCATCCACCTTTAATCTTTTCCCTGAATGAAAATTGTCCTGTCAACTGTCAGGCTTCTTTTTCCGAATTCCAACTGATCCTTCTTGGACGAAATTATCAACTTTGCGGAAGCAATTGCTATTGTCTTAACAAACTTCCTTCGTCTTATAATACCTTACACCTTGACTTTTTGTGCTATTCATGTGCTTACTTTGATGATTAAATTTTACTTATTGACGATTAAAAATATTATTAGTTTAATTTTACATTGGATACATGTCCTAATACTTTAAGAGAAACATTCCACTTCTTAAAAAAAAAAAAACAAAAAAGGGGATATCTAATTGAATTAAGTAAAAATAAAATAATTTGATATTATGAAAAAATTAGGATCAATCTAAATAAAATTCCACATTATTATAGGGAAAGCAAAAGGGAAAAAATTGATATAAGATGTCCGATGTAAAAAACCGAAAATTTTGATTAATGACTTTATTTTGATTCATGTTGGGACTTACCAACAAACCATGACCAAAGCTAAACAATCTTACATAATTTCTTTATTAATTTATTACCCAAGTTGTCACGAATGTAAAATTCCGATGCTTAATATTGTACAAGTAAATTCCACTATCGGTTGCTTTCCAAGAACAATGACGACCACCACAATAATCATCTACAAAAATCTTGTTATCTTCAAATGCAGTGAACGATAAATGACCATGATTAGGCCATGTCAAGTTACATTCATAAGACATGCTCTTCACAATACTGGTGTTGAACGTCCAACTATAATTACCATTTCCAGGAATATGAGAAATCTCAAGATCTTTGGATTTAAAACCAGATTTTTTACAATGAATATCAAGAATATCCATAGTCGCTAATCCATTCACTACTTCCACCGAATACTGTCCTGGCAGAAAACTCCAACCCATTATCACAAATGGTTGATCTATCACTCCCATACATAAAATTAGGACTAGTAAATTTTTCAACATTTTTTTCCTTGAGAGGTTTCTGAAATGAATTCTAGAAATTTTGGGGGTTAATTAGCTAGTTTATTGTATTTTACATTAATTGAGCACTATATGTAACAACTAATGTGGAAGGAAATCAAGCATATATGGTAGATAATCGTCACACATTATTGACATGATTTCTTAATTAATGATATTTGTCTCTTTTCTAAGAGTGATGGATAACTCAAGTGGTTAGAGAATAGAGATTCTAACCCGGTATGGGACTGATTTTCATCCATGCCCTTGTGGCTCTCTCTAAATACCAAAAAAAAAAAAAATTGTCTCTTTTCTCCCCTCCCCTCCCCCCTTTTTTTAAATAAAAAATAAAAAAGTTCACTTCACTTTGTTTAAACGTTTTGTTCCTATTAAAGTTTGACTGTATATGGAGTACTGGAATAATTAAATATTCTCTATTGATATTATTTGACACATTTAATTTAGACATGAATATGTTTCAATCAGGTTTAATAAGTTAAATAAGATTCAATAAAAACTAATAAGGTCTAATAAATTCAATTAGATGTAATAAATTTTAATAAGGTTTAATAAATTAGATTAGTCCCGATTCAATAAAGTGAAGATAACACACCCTTTATTTTAAAGAAAAGAAGAGAACACACCCTTTATCAACTAAATTCAACTATTTTATTTCAATTCATCCCTATTAATAAACCAAATTCAACTTATGATCTTGTATTAGTTGTACATAGCGTGGTATGCGTTAATGAATTACTACTAGTTTAATACTGCACCCGGGTGCACAAGCTAAGGGGTTCCAACAAAAGTTAGTAAATGAATTGAAACATGGTGATCGAATTGTTGAAGGTTATTATATAACTAATATATAAAGCTAAACTTTTAGTCAGGCGACGAGGCAGTGACACTTGGCGTTCCAACTTTTTGCCAAGTGTCGTGCCACGTAGGATAGAGTTATATAGAATTCAATTTGTAGGATAAAAAAGTTAGTTTAGAAATTTATTTTAATTAAATTTGGATAGAATTTTAGGATAAAATTGTTAATTTAGAGTTTTATTTTTGATAAAGTACCAATGTTTTTATTATAGAATTTTATTTTTTAATAAAGTACACATTGAATTATATCTTTACTAGATGAAGCCCGTGCGATGCACGGTTTGTTAGTATTTTTGTAAAAAAAAATATTTTCATATTTATGTGATTAAATTGTTATTATATAAGTTGTAAAATATTAGATAAAATTCCTAATCTCTAAAGATAATATTTTGTATTTAATTAATTTAAACTTTAAAATCTCATTCGTCAATTTTGCTTACGTGGCATTTGAATTATTTAATTGTAAAAGAAATTAATAATTTCTTATTTAATTGGCTACAACTTAATTTATAATCCTACATGGCGCGCTAAGAAAATTAAATCTTACGTGACTCTCTAAAAACTCGAGGAAAAACTCCCCTTATATATATACTAGTTTTGTGCCCCGTGCGATGCCCGGGTTGTTTATTGAATTATAAAATAAATTTTTAATCTTTATACGATTTGCTAGATTGTGAAGTATATTATTCTAACCAATTAGTGTATATTATAAATGTATGTTTTACGCTTTGAACTATTTCCTTTGCCTAAAAAATATTATGATACAAAAATAATTTATTAATTTTTAAGAATGATAATCTAATAAATATTTTAATAAAATTATAATTGAATTTGTACATTTGAAATATTGGTATTTTATCAAAAATAAAACTAATTTTATCCTAAAATTATATCCAAATAGAATTCTAAATTAACTTTTTTTATCTTATGAGTTCTATTTAAATCTATCCAACGTGGCGCGACACTTGGCAAAAAGTTGGAACGCCAAGTGTCGCTGTCTCATCACCTGACTAAAAGTTTAGCTTTATATATTAGTTATATGACTAGTATCGTGCCCCGTGCGATGCCCGGGTTGTTTATTAAATTTTAAGATAAATTTTTATTCTATATATATCAAAGTAATGCCTAATAATATTAGTGAAAATGTTCGATTTAATACATAAAAAAAATTAAAAATTAGCAAAAAATAAATTAAATTAAATAAATGTTCAAATCCCGTTGGGTTGATTCGAACCCAAAACTTTAGGCAAGGGTTGAACAGTTTTGACTCGTAACCTGAAGTGACTCAATCCGAAATTACTCATGACCCGACCCTAATTGAAATGTCTACATAGTTATAAAATCTATTAGCTTAGATTGCGAACTATATTATTTTAACCGGTTAGTATATATTATAAATGTATGTTTTACTCCTTGAAGTACTTCCTTCGCTCCGAAAAATATTATGATATAAAAAAGTAAATTTATATGATAATTTTTTAGAATTATAATCTAATAATTTTTTTGAATAAAATATAATTCAATTTGTACATCTAAAAAATTGGTATTTTATCGAAAATAAAACTTTTAACTAACAATTTTATCCTAAAATTCTATCCAAATAGAATTCTAAACTATTTTTTTATCTTCTGAATTCTATTTAAATCTATCCAACGTGGTGCGACATTCAAATTTTATTTTATTGAAAATAAAACTCTAAATTAACAATTTTATTCTAAAATTCTATCCAAATTTGATTCAAAATAAAATTCTAAACTAACTTTTTTAATCTTATGAAGTGTATTTAAATTTATCCAACGTGACGCGACACTTGGCGAAAAGTTAGAATGCCAAGTGTCGCTGTCTCGTGACCTGACTTAAAGTTTAGCTTTATATATTAGTTACTAGTTTTGTACCCGTGCGATGCCCGGGTTGTTTATTAAATTTAAAGATATATTTTAATCTATATGTCAAGTTTCAAAACATATCATTGATACAAAATTAGTTAGGAATTGATGTGTTTTTGTAATGATTTAAACTGGTAGATATGTAATGACAAATAATAATAATATTGGTGAAAAATATTTTTGAACCCTATCTGAAATGACTCGTGACCCGACCTGATTGACAGGTTTACACACAGTAATAAAATTATATTAGATTGTGAAGTATATTATTTTAATTGATTAGAATATATTATAAACCATGGATGTGGTACATTTTGAACTAATTCCTTTACTCCAAAAAATATTATGATACAAAAAATAAATTTATATGATAATTTATGAGAGTTATAATCTTTTTTTTTTTTTTGAATAAAATTATAATTCAATTTGTGCATATGAAATATTGGTACTTTATCAAAAATAAAACTCTAAATTAACAATTTTATCCTAAAATTCTATCCAAATTTGATTGAAAATAAAATTCTAAACTACCTTTTTTTTTATCCTACAAATTGAATTTTATATAACTCTATATATCCTACGTGGCACGACACTTGGCGAAAAGTTAGAATGCCAAGTGTCGCTGTCTCGTCGTCTAACTAAAAGTTTAGCTTTATATATTAGTTATATGATTAGATTGAAAGTACACATTGAATTATATCTTTATTGAAAAAATAATTAGATTATAACTCTCATAAATTATCTTATAAATTAATTTTTTGTATCATAATATTTTTCTGGAGCGAAGGAATTATTTTAAAATGTACCACATCCATTGTTTATAAATTATAATATATTCTAATCAATTAAAATAATATATTTCACAGTCTAATAAAATTTTATTATTGTGTGTAGACCTGTAAATCAGGTCGGGTTACCAGTCATTTTAGGCAGGGTCATTATTTCAGGCTACGGGTCAAGAAATATTTTTCACCAATATTTTTATTATTAGTCATTACATGTCTACAAGTTTAAATCGTCACAAAAACACATCAATTGCTAACTAATTTTGTATCGATAATACGTTTGACATATTGATTAAAAATATATATTAAAATTCAATAAACAACCCGGGCATTGCACGGGCACAAAACTAGTATAGACATATACAAAATACATTGCTTCTAAATTATTTGAGATTTAAAATACAAGCGTACATATCTTTAAACATTACTACATTCATGAAAAACTAACAAATAAATACAAATCATACAATCACAACAAAATGACTACAGATGGCATATATTAATGCCTTAACTAATCTGGAGACAACATAGAAGAGCTAGGTAGTCTCGGATGTTGAGTATGAGGTTGGGCACGGAGGTTCCGGAACTTGAACGAGTCCTTCTAGCATCTCTACGACCCTCCTCATCGTGGGTCGTAGACATGGGTCTTCTTGAATGCACCATATACAAATTTTTACCATTCTTTCTAATCTTTTTTTGTCATTTAGAGCCTCGGTATCATCCTTGACAAGTTCGTCAATTGTTTCCATTTGATAGCAGTCAAAGGCCCAATCAGTCAGCAGGAAAACACCCTCCTCTTCATTGTTTTCACCCTGCACATTCCTCTGACAACAAATTATCTCAAGTAACAGAATCCCAATGCTGTAAACATCTACTTTTGCTGTGATGGGCATATTCTTGAACCATTCAGGAGCCACATATCCTCTTGTTCCTCTTGGGGCGGTATTTGTTTGGGTCTGATCCAATCTCAAAAGCTTTGCCAATCCGAAGTCTGATATTCTAGCATTATGATCATCATCCAGGAGTATGTTCTGTGGTTTAATATCACAGTGGATGACCTGGGTGCTGCAGTCTTCGTGCAAGTAGAAGAGTCCCCGAGCAATGCCCTGGGCAATCCGCAACCTCTTCTCCCAGGTTGGCTTAGGAGGCTGATAGAGGAAGTCAGATAGTGTACCATTGCTCATAAACTCATACACGAGCATCCGATGCTCTTCTTCCTCACAGAATCCTACAAGCTTGACCAGATTTTTGTGATGCGTGTGACCTATCGAGTTTACTTCTGCCTTAAATTCCTTATCTGCATTTTGTGACAAGGCGTCTAATTTTTTGACAGCAATAGGAGTTTGAGTGCCCAATTGGTCACTGATAAAACCTTTGTAGACCACCCCAAAAG